TTTCTTTAAATTATTCTGTGTACCATTACTATTTGCTACCTAAATTGCTGCTTTTTTTTTTTTTAAACAAAATCTGAATTGTTCCATTCACCATTGAAGAATAAGGAGCCAGATGCTGGCATGAAAGCCTGCTAGCTCAGGGAGGCAGAGAAAGCACCCAGCTGACCTTCCTCCACAGCCAATGTCCCCAAAGGAAAAGGAAGTTCTCCTTCTCTGTGCTGTCTCAGAAAACCCCTTCAAACTGAATGTCTCTCCCTTTTACTTCTCATGCATCTCTCTATTCATCCTCCTGACTTCCTCTTACTCTGTATGGTTTTCTCCTATCTTCACTCCCTATCAACTTGTTGCTTGCTTTGCCTCTTGACCTATGGTTGACTTTATTTAATCCTGTTTACAATAAACAGAAAGCTCTTTGATTAAAAGTTTGTGCTAGAGCTGAGCCACACCACAACTAGAAATAGATTTTTCCAGTAAATAACATAATCTTGGAGTTCACAGTGTAATCGAATATCCTGCAACATGATGCTGTGTGTTTCTCTAGCCAGGTATGTTCTTTGTCAGCCCACACTTTCGTTTCTTTTCTTGTTTTATGGTCATCTAGTGTGTATGTGTGTGTGTATGTGTGTGTGTGTGTGTGTGTGTGTGTGTGTGTGGTATATATGCCATGCGTACATGTGGAGGCCAGAGGTTGGTTAATTGGCTTCTTTGGTTCTCCTTCTTCCTCCTGTGTCTGCCAATTTAACCTCCCCTATTGGGATTTTGAGCATCAGTTCATCTGCTCTGGGATGAAATTCCAGTGTTCAGCTTTCAGGGCAAGCACTTTACTAACTGAGACATTCTCAGCCCTCTTCCTCACTTTTAGTTTTCTTACTTGATCTGTTATTTGATCAATTTGAGTCCACATATTGCTAACCCCATAGAAATAGATGTGATGGATTACAGGCTCTGTGCATAGTCAAGATGGTCTTCTGAATGTTCTTAGTATTTATCTTCATACTTCCTTTGAGAAGTTATTTCATTCATGTGTTATGTTAGGCTTCTTTGTGAATGTTTGTTTCTATCTAGTTTCTTCCACATCTTAGTTTAAAGGTGCTTATAGCTAAGCCTGATGACTTGAGTAATGATTAGAACCCACTTTGTGGAAAGAGAATTAACCCTTTCAAGTTGCCCTTTGACCTCCATGTGCATGCTAAGGCATGTACATGCCCCCTACTATGATATATATATATATATATATATATATATATATATATATATATATATA